CAAAAATAACAACAAAAATAATATACAAGATCGCGCACAAGGCAGAACAGTGCCGATGAAAAATCGCGCAAATCCTGTTCTTCAACTTCAATAGATCGATCAATAGCAGAAACTTCAATCGGTCACACGCTCGGCTCTGATACCAATTGTTGGTCCCTATTTCTACTCTATAATGTATAAGATCTGATTAATAGGAGTAGAAGAAGCTTTCCATTGATAGCCAGAAAGTTTACACAAAGATGAAGAATATGTAGCGTAAAACTTCCGTAGGCTTCTAGTCTATGCGCAGAGAAATTTTCTAAGGGAGGAAAGCTTAACCTAGCCATTCCTAAGGGGTCTATTTATAGCCTCCTTAGAATGGTAGGTTTTACAATGATATGGGCTCTCCTTTTTAGGAGGCCCATTCCTAATTTAGCTTAGTAGCCTTTTCCATTTAAGGCCTATTAAATACACAATAAATACTACCAAGAGGCTAGATAAAATACATTGATCACAACACTAAAAATATCTCTAACACGAGCAAACATGAGCCACAGACGATTGAAGTAGATCTAAACTCACCCCATCTTAATGCAAGAGTCTTACAATAAAAATTAATAGCAACAAAAAAAACAACAGTCTGATGAACTAAAACAACAAAAATAAAAGCACTAAAATAAATGTTTCTCTCCATTCTCACGAACCCCTTCACAGGTCCGCCAACCAAAACCAACAGCATCTTCGAGCAACCCGGCGGACCTATAGGTTGAGGTCCGCCTACTCCCCGTTTTTTGCCTATCCAATGCCATATCTTCTCCTGTTGGGTTTTCCTGATCGTTTTTCGCCCAAGTTCTTCTACGCTTCTGCTCTCCCGTCGCTTCCTCTAGGCTCACCGAAATTCCTTCCTTGATAGCACTAGTCCCTGAGCCTGTAGTAGTTTCCTTCCAATCCTGCCTGCCTGTGTCCTGTCTATTTGAAGCCCCCATACCAATACTGGATGACCCTTCAATCAATCACCTATTTCCCCCTGTTGGGCTAGCCTCCTCCAGCTCTAAGTTCTACTCCATAAGTTTTATCAAAAGTGATATTCTCTCCCTCATACACTACTGGGCAAAATTTATCAGAATGCCCAATAATACCACACACAAAGCAAAAGTTAGGGAGTTTTTCATACTTAAAATCCACCCATTGACTAAAGCCCACCTTTTTCAGACTAGTTCCTTTTTTTAGAGTACTTATAATCCTCAGGTATGCTTCCCATATGTCATCAGACTTTCTATCATCAATCATAACTAATAAATTTTCCAATATAATTGCCTATACGTCTAGCAGAACCCAAATTCATAAAACCAAAAGCAGCATTGTGAACTTGCACCCAAAAATCAGCCTCACAAAGCCTAATTTGTAGAGGAATATCCTCAGCTTTGATCTCTTTTAGAAGCAATAAATTTCGTTCAAACAACCATGGACCTTCATCAAGGACACGTCTCATATAAAGAATGTGATAAAAGGTAAAGATATACCTCTTGTCGTCGATTTCCTTAATGGAGACACCTTTAACCGGTGTCCACAACGAGGCCATCAAATCCTTGAAAAAACTGGAATTTAATCTTGCGATCTGTCAGAATCAGACCCACCACTGGAAAATTTTCCCTGCTCTCGCCCGATTCCTCACCCTCTTCTTCCTCATCAAACACCAACTCTTCCTTATCTTCCCCAATAGCCATTTGATTGTATTGGTGGACCACGTCTTCCATCGAAACAAAAACCCCCTGCTGCGTCACCCTTCAGAACCAGGCCCGACGGAACCCAAGCACTGATCTTCTTCCTCGAGATTGCTCCGCCACGAGATTGCTCGCCCTTCGTCCTTCTGTCTGCACGCGAGAAAAAGGACTACCTTCCGGAGTCCTGTAAACCTACAGCCGCACCTCGAAAAAATTGAACCCTAGCGGCTGAGAGCTCTAGAGAGAGAATTATGTGTTATGCATTATCGTTTTACTATTAAAAAAACATTTTCATTCGTACAATGTAATTATTGTGATAAATAATGAAGCTAATAAGACTGTTGCTTAGATGAAATGGATTAACTAAAAAGCTCAAAAAAATATCTTTTCACCTAATTGTGTCAAACATACTTAAGTCTTAATCATTTTTTGTACTCCTTCCATACCTTAAATTAAATTAAGGTTTATCAATTATCGTTGATGATTTTTTGTGGATAAATTAAACTTTGACCGATTATATATTGTTATAGGAAATTATTTGTAACATAAAAGTCATATGAAAAATTCATTCGTTAAAAATACTTCATAAAAGTATAAATCCTATAACATTCAAATAAAAAATTGATCAAAACTTATCATTGATTTTAAAATGTGAAAGGTAATAAAGTTTTAAATGACATGTAGAATATATTTTTGTCCAGAAAGAAGCAATTGATTCAAATAAGTTAGCATTCCCACGGTGTAGCTATCAAGATCATTACAAATTTACAACCACATCAAACTACAAATATCAAATTAAATCTGGCACAAAACATTTTCTTAATCCAAAATGATGTTTCTCTCTCCAGGTAATTTGGTGTCAATTATTTATAATTTCTTCGATCGAAATGAGTGTTTGAAGATGTGGGAAGTAACCATCGCACTAATAACACTTAATACTTGTTTATAACACTTAGTACTGGTTTCACTTGTTTATATTTTTTTGATCGTCAAAAGGGGCTTAGATTAAAATCACAGCATTGAGAAAGGGGCTAAAATAACAAAAGCACCACAAACAACCATTTGCTCTTGGGCCAGACTCTGAGTTAATCACCTTTGACAAAGCAATATAACTCGCTGATCCGAAATTGGGCATAATTGAGCCAATAATGGTTACTGCAGAACTCTCATCCCCCAAATCTAATGCAAGAGTCTTACAATAATAAAATAGAAACAATGGCATAACTATTACCTCATAGGTTTTATTGGAAAAAAACATGACCGAAATATTTTTTCACAAAAGAGTGACCATCGATCTTCCGGCTCCGCATATCCTTCGCTGAAACTTCCGCATCTTCTTCTCCTTCGCTGCGCAAGGACGCCTGGGCGGAACAAGACATCCACGCACAGAGCCAGAGCAGCGTCCATCTCCTTCTCCTTTCTCTGCGACTGTCTCCACCGCCCATCGCTTTCCCGGCAGTCGCCCGTAGCCATTGAGCGTGTTTGGCATCATCGTCGGCCTTCTGGTTCGCGTCTCCTTTGCCGTTCGTCACTTAGCCGTCGATCTTCTCCTTCCATTTCCATCTCGATGCCCACGCAAACATGCTTCTCCTTCTTCAATTTCTTTCCGTTGTGAGGGTCGTAGGGGTGATTTTCAGATCTGGATCTGGAATGGGGGTGGTGGCTAGGGTTAGCGGGGACATGGTGGAAGGTCCAGTCATTTGTCGTCACTGGCGGCTGGGGGCTGGGGAGGTGGCCGGTTGTCACAGCTCTGTTGAACAGGGGAGGGGACGGTCAGAGCTTGGGTTGGGGCTGGGGCTGACTCGGGTTGGGGTTGGTGGGGGTTTGGGAGGGGTAGGTGGTGATAACTTATAGAACCAATGCGGTGGTGGTCTTTGGGCGGTGCCGGCGGCGGTGTCACTATTACTGCCGGTGGTGTCACTATGGCCGCCGGCGGTGTCACTATGGGTGTGTCACTGTGGCCGGAGGTGGTGTCACTGTGAACGGCAGCGATGTCACTATGGCCGGAGACGGCGAAGATGTCACTGCAAATGTGTCACTGTGGCCGGCACAATATCACTATGGATATGTCACTGTACATTAGTCACATTTTTGTCTAAATAGAAAAGTGGTCACTTTTTGGAAAATTGGCCTTATTTTAGTAATATTAAGGAGAAAATCCCATAAAAATAACCAACAGAAAAGTAAGCATTCTGATCATGGAAAATAAACACTTGTTTATACTTCTTTATAATACTTGTTATTATGATACTTGTGACTTGTCCCCATCAAACACCCGCTCGGGTCCTTGGGGAGAAACTTTACGACCCCCAGATGCGAGCGAACATGCGTTATAGAGGGATACACTCAGGAAATAAACGACTTATTCCGAGTTGGGGAAAAGGATCCATGAACTACAAGAAGGTGGTAATGAAAAACAGTTAGTTGCGAGACAAGATAGGGAAGAATAGGCTGGAATTTTTTTAGTTCATGGATTAACTTCAAAAGGAAAACAAAAAGTGATTGTTGAGGAAGAACAGGACCACTACCCTACTCACTAGGGTAGAGTTTTGGAGGCAGGAGAACCTAGGAAGAGAAGTGCAGTGAACATTCATGAATTGGTGGAGGTCTAAGTAAATATGGATGTAGATGGCGATGAGTCTAAAATTGAATGACGGTGGTGCTCTTAGAACATCATCGCCTTGAATTCTGCCAAGGTACGGAAATGAGAGGGTCCGTTTGGAGGTGGCTGGTCAAATCTCTTCTCCCTTTTAGATGGTTAGTAAAGTCGGAATGCTTGTATGAAATATTAATTTGCTGGTTTTTTTAATAAGTACAAACTTTTTTTTTAATTATCATTTGAGTAGGAAGTTCAATAGTGCTATTAAATTAGACTACATGAATGTGAGGTTAGTGAATTCGATTGATCGATTCAATGTCACATCCCAATGTAGCCTTGAACTATTGTATTGCTTTATTTATGAGGAAGCGGTCCAGCTCAGCTGGTCGCCGACTCACTCTCCCGTATGGGAGGTCCCGAGTTCAATTCTGAATGGAGTGAGATTGATCTCAGTTTACCTCTAGACCCCCCAAATCCCCTTCCCCCGACGCCCCCTGGTGTAAAAAAAGTATTGCTTTATTTCTTGTTACTTTTATCATTAATAAATATGTTTTTTTTCCCAAAAAGAAAAACTTTTTTACATAGTACTTTGTAATTCGTACTTCGTATATAATAACAACAACATGTTAACCTTATACAAAACTCAAATAACATATACTCAGAATTTATTAATGACTTTGATATACTTATCCTCCGTACAAAATTCAAATGACAAATACTCAGGATTTATTAATGAGCTTTAAAGGCTCTTACAGAAGGAAGCTCATTATTATTTCATGAATTTGATATAATTATTATTTTTCTAATAATAAACTGGAGCAACATACAATTGGACAATAGATGTGTAATTAGCTTGTAATTCCTAGATTGCCCTTGGATGCCACCCATGACCCACCCCTTGATACAAAACAACGATATTCAAATGCTAACTGCAACACTTTAATTATTTTGTAACGTAATTAACAACACACAAGGAGTAGGCATTTGTCAATTGATTTTCGTACAGTTAGTCCTAATCTCCCCATTTGAGCCTGTGAGAGGGCTGAGATTACTCATTTTCAGCATAGCATTTGCAAAATCCGAAGCAAAGGTAGAGGGGTCGGAGCCATAAGTGTTTACAGAAGTGTCCGTGGAACCTCCATTTCCAGTAAATAGCTCCTGATCGGAATGGAGGAGTCCGTTTTTCCCCTGCAAGATCGCATAGTAATTATTGTCGAACGATCTCGGAGTCGTCTCATCTAGCGGAGCCAGATTGTTGTCGTCCCCGCTTTGACGACAGTTTGCACGCAATGATTGTGCAAATGTCGCATTTATATTGGTGTCGTTGTAGATACGGCCTCGGAATGACGTACACCTCGCTTGCCCAATCGTGTGCGCTCCTGCACCATTTATTATTAAATAAATTTTTTAAAATAGGACTGAAACATAGACAACGCGCAAAAATAAGAGTTATAATGTTAGAGCAAACAAACCTGAGAGAGCAACCATTTCTGTGGTGTTAAAGCCTTTATTGGAGAAGGAGTTGATGAGTTGACTGAGATTAAAATTTGGTCCGGGAATGTCGGTGTTAACCGTTGCCAGACTTGCAGTTCTTGAATCCCTTCTTCCTAGCGGAACATTCCAACTAGGGCCCCCAAGCTGTACATTTATGTCACATACAGCATTTTAAAACTCATCGATTCCTCCCTTTTTAATACTGAGTATAATATAATCATCATTGTTTTCGGCCAAATTCATACAAATAATATCCTTTTTTAGGCATTTAACAAATCAAAAGAATCTCTAAAGAAAAGTTCACACCAATAATCTCACCTTGTTAGAGGATTCACAAAAATAAACCTTCCAATGAAAGTGTTAACTTTTCTTCTTTAATTTTTAACAATCTTTTAGAGTTTTAAAATATTAAAAAAAACTGTTATTACGGATCAAAGACTGATCAATTTTGTAGATTAGGCTGAAGTGAAAGATTGTAAATAGTAGAAAGGCTTATTTAACTCCTTCTCCGGCAAAAATATATATGAGCATTAACAATATTATATTTGACCTTAAAATGGTTGGGATTATATCTGTGAAATAGTTCCCCAGCGGGGATCTTTGGTGTATGTGAACTTCATCCATCTAATCCCTAATTATTTGTTCGTTCTTTAATATATAAAAATCCCATAACTTATATGGAGTATTGTTTTTTTAATGAACAAATTTTAAAGTATGCATTTCACGTTATTGTAAACTTTGCAAATTTACTCAATTAAATACTCATTGGTCCAACTATATATCTTAAATTTATCCCTTTTTCATTTTTGTTGAGCCTGTTTCATTAAATTTTGTCTCATATCAATACTTGACATGTGACTCTTATGCATTCTTATTTTATTTACAGTTTAATAATTCAACATAAATCATATAATTCTACACATTTCTTAGTGACTGTACTACCTTTTCTTATCCACTCTAATTAATTAGAATTGATTAATTAGTAATAATTTGTGTTGCTTTACTGAAATTACTTTGACGTAGCACACTGCATGTGGCTATTGCTCAAAATAAAAATTCGTAGAACTTAACTATGATTTTGTCAACACCATTCGACATGAGTAAAAGTTTGACAATACATGCTTTTATTCCTTTTTAAAAATTATTACCATTAAAATATTATATTATATTCCAGTCAAAAGTTACGATGCAAAAGCCTATACCTATGAAAGTAAATACTCCGTAAAACATTCTGTTGCTAGATTTACTCAAAACCTATAGAGGTAAATCTCAAAGTTTACTTGTATCTTAGCCTGTCTCTCGTATATTACTCCGTATAACTTTGACTTTAGGTATAACGAATGTTCTAAAAGGCGCTAGGCGGCTGGTCAGGCGCCAGCCCAGCGCCTAGCGCCTAGTCAGAGACTAGTCGGAAACATAAAAATTACATTTTTATCTTTATTTTTGCATAAATATGATAAGTAATATTGATTTTTGTGTGTATAAAATATATATATACATATACATTAACAAATAAACAAGAATGATAGAATTATCACATTTAATCATACGTAGTACTACGTATATGATAACTAATCACTTAACTTCATTATGTTATAAATATAAATAATGATAAAATTTAGGTACATATACACACTATATAGTTTTATCTTAATTTACAACTTCATTTCATTATATTCATGGCTAAAGTTAAAGTACGTATATCGCTTAAAAAATTAAATTAAAAAGTGAAGTAATCTTCGGCGAAACTAGATGGCCTAGGCGGCCGATTAGGCGCTCTAAACGCGCAACAAGGCGCCATAGGCGGCCGACTAATTCACCTAGACGGCAAGCCAATTAGTCGGAGCGCCTAAATGAAAATCGGGGCGCCCGACCACCGCCTAGCGCCTAGGCAGGGAGTAGTTGGGCGCCTAGAACGATTTTTAGAACAGAGGGTAGAACCATGATTAATCATTATATCATCTAGTTTAATCGGTATATTAAATCTCAATTATATATATTACGGTGTAATTATTATATAAAAAAATATTACGAAAAGAGGGTTAGGTTATTACAGGAGTTTGGTTAGGGTTTCTAAGATTGAGGGATTCGGAAAGAGGGTTTCCGAATGGGTTGGGAGGGGAGGGGTTGGCAAACGTGTGTAAATCCCATTTATTTATTATTTAATATAACTTCTTTATTTTTACTCCAAATTTTACAAAAAATATATTGAAATTCTTAATTTGTTATGATCTTTCTAATGACACCAATATCTCATATATAAAATTTATTTTATATTTTTGAGGTTTCAAATGTAGAAAGTTTTCGAATCCAAATTTTTCCTAAATAGATTCAAGTGCTAAAATTAGGATCACATTATTAACATAACTTTTTTTGCATGTTTCAATTATTTGAAAAATGATATTTTTTTTAGCACTTGGATCTATTTCAGATAATTGTTGAAACTAAAAACTACATACGGTTGAAACTTCAATTTTGTTTTTAACTTTTTTATATGGGATATTGGTGTTATATGAAAGATAATAAAAACTTATGAATTTTGATATATATTTTATAAAAAATCACTACAACATTTCAACATCTAATGTATCACCCAAAAGTGTTACAATAGCACTGAAAAGTGTTACATTAGAGAAAATGTATCACTTTTTTACGATTACATTTGTTCATGTTCCATTTGATCTATTGTAACACTTTATAGTTCCTAATGTAACATTTATACTTCTAGAAAGTGTTATATTAGGTCTAAAAAGTGTTACATTAGAGAAAAATGTAACACTTTTATAGGTATGTTACATCCTCAATGTTACGTTAGGCTTTAAATTGTAGTAGTGAATGGAGAACAAAAATAAAAGTTACATTACTTAATAAAAAAAATGGGGTTTTATATTTTACCCAGCCCCCCACCCACTCCCCTAACCATGCGCCCCAGCCTTAGTTTTTCTGGATTCGGAAAATGGAATTCCGATTCTCTTTTTTTGTCCATTTTTTTGATGTCCCGTGTTTTGGCGGGTTTTGCAAAAAAATCCCGTGTTTTGAGAATTTCCTAGATTTTATTATATGGAGTATATTACAAATGTGCCAAGATGTAATATAATAGATGTAATATACGATAGTATATTATTACCGCAACCACGGAGTCTCGAGCAGCAACAGCCACAATGTCAGCACATGAGACAATCCCAGGACATGTTGAAGCATTCTCAAGAGCTGCTTTAATGTTGTCTATCACATCAAACCCTCTCACCGAGTTTTGATTTGCGGGGGCAGTTTTCTCTCCGGTGAAGTTTGCCGTGTCATCCAATAAAATTGATGCGTCACACCCCTGTTTCATATTCAAACAAGGACCATAGAATTATGCACTAATATTATTTACCCCTTGATAATAGCCCTAATTAAGGATTGTGATTAGCAAAATTACCCCATAATATATCAAATAAAACAAAACAAAAAAATAGTTTGGGATAACCCCAAAAAAAGGAGAGTGATAAAAAACGGTGGGATGGAGAAGTAGCTTGTCGTCCATCTTAGATTGTTTTGTTTTGGACTGAAATTTGATAGTCTGGTCTGATAAATGTTTGGTTCCTGTGTATTTTGAAACTATGGAAGTCTGGTTTGGTCTAATCTGGTCTGATCTGATTTGAGATTGAAAACATGCCAATAGAGAAGACAAACTATTTTTTAAATGTAACTAGGCAAGAAAAAGACTTGCATTGACCAAATAATAATAAATAAATAACAACAAATTACTATATAAAATCTTGATTTAAGGCATAAACTTGGATATGATGAATTATATATAGTACACATAGATTAGCTAGGGATAAATTTATGTTGATCAATGTTTTTGGAAAGCTAAGAGGGAAGAAAAGACTTGCATTGACGAAGCAGTCATGAAAATGGAGACGAAGCAAGGATGCTCCCATCCGAGGCTCATTCTGCACGGTGGAGTTCACAATCCCCTGGATTATGGAAAGAGCATTCGGACAAGTGGAACTGTAAAAATTTGCAGACAACTGGGCAGAGGCCATCGCAAAAAGAAGGGAGAAGAAGATAAGTGCAAAGGATGAGAGTCTGAATACAAGACTATGAAGTGAAAGAGGGACTCTAGAAGTCGCCATCTCCAAGTAGTAATTACGAAACAAGATGAAAGAATTAAAAAAAAGAGGGTTTCAAGCTCCCAATTAGTTAAGCTTCAACTATTTGATGGATATGAAAGGCTTGGATTGTGGCATTGATCTTCATGTCTAGCTAGTGTATTTATAGTTGATTTTCAGTCCTTTTGAGTCTTCTTGCTTATAATCCCTTAATTTATTTACATTGTTTAGTGTTATTTCATTTTTTCTAATTCATACTCATAAGTCATAAATGACATATATTCCGAATGTCAATGAGTACCGAGTACGTACTTCATTTCGACTTATTTTAAACTTTCGCAATCATTAACCCAAGATTTAGGAAAATCTTTTATGAAATGACCTAGACTTAGATCTATGTCGTCTACTATTATTTTCTCTATCCCTCACATGCATAACCTCCTCGGATTTTCTACCCTCACCCATCTGTTTTAAATTTAATTCCTTACTCTTAAGACCATTTACCACAATGTCAAGAGTCACATTATCTCTACCATATTTAATAGCAGATTTCACATCACCAAAGGAATCAGGAATAACATTTAAAGAGCAACAGGAGAATAATCATCTATATGCTTATCACCACACAACTTAATATCATAAATAAGTTTGGTAAAGACATCTAGATTTTCCTCAATATCCCTAGACATATCTAGTCTAAATTTGAAGAACTTCTCAAGTAAAAACATCCGGTTAGGCAAAGAGGTTACATTATAAAGCTCTTCAAGTTTATTCCACACAGATTTAGCTGATTCTAAAATTCCTACTTTTCTGAGCACACAATCAGATAAGTTCAAGTAAATTGTAGAACAAGCATTTTCATTCATTTCTGCTTTTTTCTCTTCCGTATCGGAAGCCAAATAGGTCTCACTAATGACCCTATATGATTTTTGTTGAATTAATATGCACTTTATTTTCTGTTTGCATATGCTAAAATCAGTTTTTCCATTAAATGGAGTCATTCCGTACTGATTAAATGCAAACATTTTCGCACAGA